ACAGTATCTTAGAGCAGAAAAAGGGCAGGAGGTAAAAACTTAGGAAATTTGGATAAAGTATGGATTTACATTTCAATAATATTTCTAATAATATTATAAGGACTATAGTAATATATCAGTATTGGTTATTAATTGTGGCAGATGTAATACTAACGTGAGATGTTAACAATAGGGGAAATTGGGTGGGAACTCTCTACACTATTTTTGAGTATTTTCCTATAAATTAAAACTATGCTAGAGCAAAAACTTTATATGAAGTTTTATGTAGAAAATGGAAGGCCTTATGCTGTAATTATTCATATATGATGGCTGAGATAGGTGGGACTGGAAGAATATACGTTCCGTAAGATTTCCAGGAAATATGGAGAGGATTGGGGGAGCTACTCAGGACTGAGCACTACAGCTGGGGAGAAAGTGCAGAGGACAAAGGTGAGCGTGCACCCTGGCCTGAGGGAGGTGAGTAGGGGGACACAGTGTGACAGCCCTTCCATCTGGAGGTGAGGTTCACAGCCTTCCCGCTGAGCTGGGATGCACGACTGCTTCAGACACTAGAATGTGGCAAAGGTGATTAGGTTTCTGGCAATTAGAAATGGTCCGCTTTCCCCTTCCTGTCTCTTGGATTCTCCTCTTAGAGATGAAGCATCAGGAGGAGAGGAAGCCTGTGGAGGGCCCACCTGCAGAGGAAGGGACCTGGTGGTGCTCAGGCCTGCAGTGCTCAGGCCTGGCCGTGCTCCTGGCCACAGGCGGTGCTCAGGCCTGGCCGTGCTCCAGGCCACAGCCAGCTCTCATCTGCTGACTGTGTTAATGGGCTTGAGAGTGGATCCTCTAGTCCACAGTTGGGCTGTTCCTTCTACCATCTTGTGGAGCAGAAACTGACCTTTCCTGCCATGCTTGGACCAAACTGTAGATCATGAACTCAATCAGTGAAGGATGGTGTCTTTTTAAAATCTATTTATTTATTTTTTTGAGACAGGATCTGGCTACGTAGCTCAAGTGGGCTTCCAGTCTTTGGCAGTCCTCCAACGTCAGCTTCCGGAGTATAGGATTAGAGGCCTGTTCCCAGCTTGGATGATGTCTTCAACTATGTATTAAATTTTGAAGTGGAGAAGTTATAGTAACCTGAACATCCAAAACTAGTCGAGGACTCCTTCCCCTTCCCTTCCTTTCTGTTTTTTTCTCCTTGGTGCACTCAGGTTGTGGTATGGTGGCCTAGTGCAGGGACTCTGAGGCTGTATTTCCTGGGACCAGGTCCTGACTTTACCACACAGCAGTTGTGTAACTCTGAGTAAGCTACTCAGCCTTTTTCTCAATCTCCATGTGCTAATCAGCTTCCTGTTGCTGTGATAAACTACCTGAGAGAATCAACTTAAAGGAGGAGGTTTATTTCAGCTCACAGTTCCAGAGGTCTCAGTCCATGGCGAGCTGGGTTCATTTCTTTAGGCCTGTGGTGGGCAGAGCATCATGACAGAAGGATGAGGTGGATGATGTCATAGCAGCCAGCCAGGAGAGAAGAGGGAGGGTAGAGAAGGAGAAAGAGGGGGAGGAAGAAAGAGAGAGAAGAGGAGGTAACACTGGTGGGTTTCTTTTTTCTTTTTTACTTTTGTTCCATCTGGATCTCCCAGCCTGTTTGGATGGTGCAGATCACATTCGGGGCAAATCTCTTCCCCCTGTTCACTGTCCCACAGGCCCATCAGGTCTGGAATCACCCTTACAGAAGAGTCCAAAGCGGGTTTCACCAGTTTTCTAGACGTTTCTCAATCCAATCAGGCTGACCATCAAGATTAGCCATCATGCAGCTATTTCACGTAGAAAATGGAGACTTAATAGTGGATGCGATAGAATTATTGGGGAGAGTAAGTAGAAGGCACGTGGGTTATACACAATGATTCTGCCAAGACAAAGCGTCAGCCTCCTGGATCCTGGAGCACTGGCCGGCCGTCCCCCTTGCCTGCTCACTTGAGGCTCAGTCAGACTTCCCAAGTGCCACCGCCTGTCTCCCCAGACCATGAGCAAGCCCTCTTCCTGCCTGTGTCGAGGCTGGCCTTGTTCACTCCCATGACACCATCTGGTTGCTCGCTCCTTTCCTGTTCCTCTCTGGTTTTGACTGTCTATCTGGCTTCCTTTTGGCTGGGCTGTTAGGGAGAAACAGCGAACTGTGGGGTGGAGGTGGGGACCCCTCTGGGGAGGATGGTGGGTGGGGGAGCCTTTCTTTATAGATGTCACTGGGAAACAAGAGCCTCAGCCTCCACGCATCTCTTGGGAAGATGCTGATTTTGTCACTGCAATGAGAGCCCAGAGAGAATGGGACCACATAGGAGCAAAAGCCACGGCAAGGGACAAGGGACGTGGGAGGGTTTTCAGGAAATCTAAGGGAGCGCCTCATGGGGCACAGCTGTTCCCAAGAAAACTAAGGTTTTGTCTTAATGAGATTCAGTCGTAGAAAAAATGGGCTTTCTCTTCCCCCACGTGTCTTCATGCGGATTCTGAGAATACAGAAGTGCCTTGCATAGGCTGAACCCCAGGACTCTGGTCCTGCCCATTCTAGAGGTGTCCAGGGCTGCAGGACTGCAGCAGCTTTTTTCTTAGAGCTTTTTAAACCCACAAGGGCACTGAGTGCAAGGGTATTTAAAGGGGCAGCTGTTTTTCCCAGGGGAGGAGAGCAGGCTGGTCATCCAGCCTCCTGCGGCATTTCCCTGATTCACCACTGCAGGTTGGGAAGCCATGAAGCTTCTGTCCCCCTACAGTGTAAGATGGGAGATAGAAAGCAAGAGCGCTGAGAGGGTCAGAGTATAGGGGGCACAGAGGGCACCGCACCCTGCTGAGTGAGGCAGATACATCGGGCATGGGGAGTGCTGTGTGCACACGAGAGTATACACGTATGTGCGTGTGAGTGCGTGAGTGCGGGCACATGACAAGTGGAGAGAGCCCTAAACCAGAGTCCATACTCTGCCACTGAGCACGGTGATGATAGCAGGCAAAATATTTCATTTCTGAGAGTCCCACTTGTAAGTCAGGAAAATATTTTATTGTGTTCCCCTTCAACAGTTTCCAGAAGATATATTTTTGCTTGAAAAACTTGTATATTAATGTCTTCTAGTTGGCAAGAGGAGATGAAATTGAGGCACTGTCCAGACAGATGGGACCCCAGGCCCTTTTCCTTGGAGGAAACTCTGGAAGCTAAAAACCAGTCCAGTGGTTCCCCACCCTGGCTGCCTGCATGGCAGAATCCCTGGGGCTTTAAAACAGAAAACTATGCTGTAGCCCACTGTAGTTGAATTGAACTGGATGGGCACAGAGCTGGGTTGCTTTTAAGGCCCAAATGACTCTGAGCAGCAGCCAGTATACAGTGTGGACTGCAGGGACAGAGGCTCCTCCCCAGGTCCTCTCTTGCATCCCGTGGTGTGCTGGGGAGCACCAGGCATGTGGAGCGGCTGTGAGATGCCCCTCTCTGGCCAGGAGGGAGTGTGATGCCTTGTTAGCTGCCACAGCCCTCACAGGGCTCTGCAATACCCCTGCACTGAATGGAGCCCAGTTTAAGGCCTCCCAGGACTCCCAACCCCTCCGCCTCTGCTGTCTTTAGGGCTGGGCATGGCCCGGGTCCCCCTCACTGTGCTTGTGTGTAGCTGGCGTGAGGCCTAGAATCTGTCAGCAGCTTCATTGAGATGCTGCCCCAGCTCTGCCCTAGTTCAGGATTTCAGAGCCTTAAGGCTCCTACCCCGGCCTTTCCCTGCTCCCTCTGTCACCCTGGAAACAGCTCTTGGTTTCTAGGGGCCCAGGGAGAATGGAGTGCAGGCTGGAGCATGGGCGGAGGGCAGGCTCGCTGGCTGGGGCAGGGAGAGGCCCTGTGGAATCAAGGCCTGGCATGGGGTAGGGTGGGGACAGCAGTTCAGGCCCACCCTGAAGAAAGAGCCCTTTCTGACATTCACTGGCTTAGAGGGTATATTTTTCTGTGGCTTTTCTCCCCTGCTGATGGTGCCTTATTCTAATTTGCACAAAAGCATTGTATGTCTAAGTGGTGGTGGGGCACTTGAACTGCCTGCTGGTAGCCTGTGGGGTTCACCCCAAGGACTCCCCCTCTCCGCAGAGGCTCTTTCCAACCCCATCCCCGCTGAGGAGAGAAAGCCCCTTGCCTCCTGTACTCCCCCCAGCCACGTTCGCACTGGCCCAAGCAGGGGCAGGTGGGATGGCCCTATGCAATGTCTCGAGCTCCCTGGGCGTTTTCTGAGCCTGCAGCCCCCATTGCAGTGTTGTGTCTGCAGGAATGACTAGGTGATGCTCAGCAACCAAGCTCGTTCTCTTTGCTTTTGAGACTCCATGAAACTTGTCCACAGAAACGCCCACTATACCCAAGCCACAGCTAGCATGCAGCATGAGGGAAAGGCACAGACAGGTGATCTCAAGTTCCAGGTTCTGCTCTAAGAAAGAGAACATTGTCCTGTGTTCTGGCTCTGGCTCTGCCAACCCATCATCACTTGCTCCCTAGGCCTCAGTATGCCCATCTCAAAATGGGGCTTTGCCTTTCCCAGCAGGACTATGGTGAATGTGAGTGCTGGCTCCCGGCTGGCCACCAGGGTGACATACAGGGAGTGGTTGAAAAATATGGTAAATTAAAACAAATTTATTACTGTAAAAGACACATTACCATGAATCCCTCTCAAAATACTCTCCCATCACTTCAAACACTTCTCCCATGATTCTTGCCGCTTGCTGGAGCAGTTCTGGAATTCTTCTTTCTTGAGTATCTGTAAGAGGGATGATCATAACCGGCAAGCGCTGCTGCTGAGTGCCATCCATCAGATAGGCACATTTGTAAAAATATGACTGTTTACCTACATCACCTTATTCACCAGAATGTTATTCACTGTGAAACTTCTAGCGCAAAAGGTTGGGGAAGGGTGGGGAGTCCAGCAGCTTGCGCCAGGGTTTTAGAAGGGGCTTCGCCTGCACCATAGCTTGGCGTAGAAGCTCAGTCTTTCTCCTCCCTTCCCTCAGGTCCCACCCTGAGCCTGGCCTCCAGGAGCCACATATCATTAGTCCCATCTCTCCGATGTGGCAGTCACGACCAGAGTCACCTGTTCTCCGAACCTTGGGTCATCCAGTGAAGTGAGTGCCTCTGCTAGATTCCCTGATCTCAAGGAGAAGAATGAGGCCTTGGACACAGTCCACTCCAGTCTCCTTCCCTGCACCACACACACAGCGCTGCCTGTGTGGAGATGGGGACATCATCTGGGCTTTGGGGGAGGGACATCTAGAAAATGCTTGGGGTGGCGCTGTGTGTCTGGCTGGGAGGGCTGGGGCTGAGGGGGAGTAAGTGCTGGATGCCTTGCTGATGTGGTCACATCGCCATGCTGGGCCACTGCAGCTGCTCACTCTGTTCTGCAGCTGCTGCTCTCCATGCTCAGCCTGTGGGAGGCTGCAGACCAGGGTTGCCAGCCCTGGAGAATACCCTGGCCGTAGGCTGCTCCAGTAAGTTTGATCTTGGCTAACAGAGGAGGGTGGTGGCCCTGAGAACTGTTCACTGCTGTGCTGGCCCCTCTCCTTCCTTCCATGCACCACCAGGAAAGCTGTGACATTTAATCAAGAGTTTGGGGCGTGGGATGCCTCAGGCATAGGTGAGCGGCAGGAAGGGGAGCTGATTGGCAGTGCAGATCTCAAGTCCTAAAGATGTACACACTTTTGACTCAGGAATTCACTGCTGGAGTTGATCCTCAGGAATAACAGTGAGTTCATAGAAGGTGTGTGTACAACGACCCTTATCTCTGCCTTGTTTAGAAGTAATACCACTCAATGGAAGATTGAAATTTTCACCCAGGGGAAAATTTATGTGCCATTTACACAGCAATGGAAATACTAATAACACTTGCCAAGAACCTTCTGGTGCATGCCTTTTAGCCAGCATAAGCACGCATTTCTCTTGGATATAGATTGGGTATAGATGGGTTTGCTGGGCTCAAAGGATTGTGTATGTCCACTCTGAGTTGCTGCTGGAAAACAGCAATCAGTCCAATGCACACTCCCATGCCCAGTTTACGAACACTGCAATTGTTTCAGCATCTTTGCCAATGACTTAGTATTGTCAGCTTGTTTCTTTTTTGACTCTTCTTGTGAATACATAATGGGGCTGCATTGTGGTTTTATCTGTATGTCTCAATATGCATCTACAAGACAATAAAATGTAAGTATTTATAAGATGGAGACCTATGGAGCAGTGAAAAGTTACGAACTAGTAATTGACACAACTGCCTGGGTAGATAAAAAAATATATTTAAATTGTGTGCAAAATAGGCCGTATTGCGTGACTGCATTTATATAACAAAACAGGAGAAACTAAGTTAAGGTGAGTGCAGTCAGAAAGTTGCCTGTGGGGATGAGGAGATCTGAGGGAAAAGAGGACTAGGGAACTTTCTGGAGTGTTGAAAATGTTTGATGCTTGGATCTACATAGTAGTAGCTGTCTAAATGTATATTTATCATATTTATTCTGCTTCATTAGAAAGGTTTTATGGTTTAAAACTGAAATGTTCCATGAAAGCCTCCTATGTTTCGGAGGTGACTGGGTCGTGCAGGTGCTGTCTCATGAGTTCAGCAGCCAAATGAGTGGTTGACAGGTGCAGTCTGACCAGAAGAAATATGTCACTGGGGTGACCCTTTGGAGGGTACACCTCCCTCCTCAGGTGCTCCCTCTTTCTTATCTTATTCCCATCATGGATCGACCAGCTTTCCTCCACCCAATCCTCTCCACGATGCTCTTTCTGCCTTGGAGTCTGCCAACCATGAACTGAATTCTCCCAAACTGTGAGCTGAAATACACATCTCCTTTAAATAGTGGGTGTTGAGTATTTTATTCCAGTGATGGAAAAATTCAGAAAGAAAGGAAAAGAAAACAAAGCTGAATCTTACTAGAGAGAAGCTTCTCTCCTTGGAGCACTGATTGAGCTGCACAGTAAATTTCCTCCCAACTCTGACTCAAAAGTCAAGGGTTAGGAGTACAGCTCAGGGGCAGAATGCTTACCCAGCATATGCAAAGTCCTAGCTTCAATCCTCAGTCTCCTGGGGAAAAAAAGTCAGGTGACAGTGTTAAATGGTAAAGCCACAGTGGCATAGGGAAGAGCTAACACTAGTCTTAGCTTTATGTCTAGCATTCCTTTAAGTAAGCATGTTGGGGGGGTACCATTGAATGATAGCTAAAATAAAAGCCATATAACTTCTCATCCCTTTCCAGTGAGGCTTTTTGGCTCCTCCTCCTACCAAGAACTAAAAATTGAGCTGAGCATGATGGTGCATACCTGCAATTCCAACACTCCTAGAGCCTGAGGTAGGGAGATAAAAATTTCTAGTATGATCTTGTCTCATATAAATAAAAAAGAGCCAGGAATGTAGCTCAGTGTGAAGGTGCTGGGTCAATCCTCAGTATTGGAAAACTAAACTAAACTAAACAAACAAACAAAAAAACCCACCTGGAACTAGACATAACTTAATTTGTCATGATGTATTTTTAAAATCTGGATGAATGTAGTCTTGGGTGTGGACAAAGCAATCCCTAGAAATACACTTGATGTCAGGATAACCACAAGAGCAATGATGATACCAGGTACCCTCTCCAGGTACCATCTCAGTGGGTAAAGCACCATAATGAGCCCCAGGGTCCGGCTCCTTGACAGGGATTGCCTGCCAGAAGAGCTGATGGGGTGGTCACCCATGCTGTGCTGGGGGAAGGGACTTGGGAAGCGACTACCCCTTCTGAAACACAGGGAAGAGGGAACAGAACACCTCCAAGCTCCTGGGGTGAGAAAGGCTGGTTTACTCCTTGTTCAACAAATATAAGATCAGAGGCTCAGGGTACAAAGTCTACTTAGTACTTTGCTCTGAGTGGTTTGATCCATGTCACCACTTGTGTATCCATGCACACATAAAAATAATAATAATAATTAATAATAACTCTTGCCTAGGTTACCACCTGTAACCCCAGCAATACCCTGAGAGACCAAGGCAGGAGGATTACAAGTTTGAGCCTAGCTTGACAACTCAGCCTCTTAGTGAGATCTTGTCTCAAAAATAAAGAATAAAGAAAGGGCTGGGGATGTGGCTTGATGTGAAGGTCCTGTGTTTGATCCCCCCTACAACAAACAGACAAACAAACAAAAAAACTCAAGACCAGAACTGAAATCTTGAAACTACAGTGTCAGAAAAGTTCCTTGCTCCTCGGCCTGGTTTTGCTGGAGGAGCTGTGGAGGGAGGACAGTCTCCAGGCCCCACTGCCTGCTGCCTGCCCCTCTGCAATCCTTCTCGTCCAGTATCCTCACCTGTCCTCCCACTAGGACACCTCCACGAGGCTTCTGAGATGTCTCAGTAACCTTTGCAGTCAGAGGACCGTCCTTTCTGAGCCTGTCTCCCTGGCCCCTCTCCTCACCCTTCCACATGGTTTCTAAGCAGGAAGACTCCAGACTGCCCTTTCCATGCAGACCAGGAAGCAGAGAGGTCAAGGGGCTGACCCAAGGTCACCCAGATGGACTCAGCTGGGCCTGAGAACCCAGCCTTCTTGGGTCCTCGGGTAGTGTTTTCCCAACACGCTGAAGCTCTGGACTCGGCTGGGGTGGAGGACGCAGAGACAAAACATTGAACGCAAAAGTAGAGAGATAAAGTCATTTTCATGATTAGATATCCTTGAATTTGAGCTCAGACAGCAACACTGAAATCTAAGGATTTCGGAAGAGCGGTTCTTCCTGTTCTGCCGCAGACTGCTGTTTTATCTTCCCGTGTCATCGGAAGTCACCCAGCTTCTCCTAATGGTGCTTTGCTCACACTCCGGGCAGAGGCAGCGGAGGTAGGCAGGTGCTGTGCGGTGGGTGACCGGGCGAGGGTTTCCACGTGACTGTGGGATGCACACTCATCCCCGCACATCTGTCAGTCTGGGTATGATGTGACTAAGATGCCGAGGCTCACAATTCCTCAACTCATCCCTCCCCCGTCATCGTGCAGCTCTCCAGCAGCTGTGTACTCCCCGCCCCGGGAAAAGAATGTCTCTGGCAGCCTGATGCCCACCCTAGACTGGCCACAGCTGCACAGGTGGAGGCACTGTGTCCAGCTGGCCCCAGGACAGGGCCTCCCAGGAGGAGACTACTCACCTCCTCATTAGTGCTGCCTGTAGCAGCTGTTGCACTGAGGGCCAGGATCACCCCAAGAGGAGACACCTGGAGGATAGCACCCCACTCCTGCCTGGGCCCGAGGCCAAGGGGTGGGCTGAAGGGCAGGCTCCTTTATCTACATACACTCTAGGACAATGCACACCCAAAACCTGCAGGAGCCGTGCACAGGGTCAGATGACCTCACACCAGAAGCTAGTTGTTGGGGTGCAGGATAGGGGTTGGGGTGCTACTTGGACAAAAATCTCAAACCCATGGCACTAGGGGTAAAAATAAGACATTATTAACCTTTGTGCAAGTGGGACTCCAGCTGGGCTGTAATAAAAACCCAGAAGTATGGTATTGGTGATTTAGAGTGAGGTGCATTTGTACTCCAGGGGAGGGGTGGGCAACGGGGTTGACACCCTTGAGGGATGCAGAGGAGCAGGTGGGAAGGGTGACATTGCAGGCAGCACAGCATGAGCAAAGGCGTGGTGACCCTGTGTGGGCACTGTGGTGTGGCTGTGGGACTGACCCAGTCAAATGGCCTGTAAGTATCTGGACACACATCTGTCTGAGAGGTGCAGCAATTAGGGCAGAGACCTCTGGGAGAAAGAGGGGGTTGTGGGGGAGAAAGATGAACTCTGTGGAGTGAGCATCACGAGGTCTAGGAGGTCCCCATTCCTGGCCTTTATCCTGAATGCCAGAGGCCCAGGAAAGCTGATTCAGAGATAGCAGGGCACCTCAGCTTGCCCTGGTAGAACCGAAGGCTCAGAATGGTAGGGAATTTAAGCTCTCTTCAGCTTCCCAGGAGGCCTTTGGGTCACATCTGTGGAGCACAGAGGTGAATCTCTGTGAGGGTTACCTCTCTTCAACTGAGCACCTTGAATTGTGCTGTGTGACCTCACGCAAATCATGCTCTCCTCCAGGCCCCAGCTTCCTCGTGCAGAGAACGAAGGAGGCTGGGCTCAGCGGGACCCACCTCCTCACCAGCCCAGATTAACTGGTGAGGCTGGACTGCATGCAGGATTGCAATGCCAAGTCCAGGCCTGAGGGCCTGAGGGACAGACACCAGGGTCCATGAGTGATGGGCCCAACAGGCTTGTGTACATAAGCCTCCTATTTCCTATCTTCTTCTTCTTCTTTTTTTAAATCCGGTACCGGGGTTTGAACTTACGACCGCTTCTGCCGCTGAGCTAAATCCCCAGCCCCATTGCCTATCTTCTTAACACCCTGTGTGACACCCTGTGATCTAACACAGGACAGAAGACTGGGCCTCTGATCTCCTCTCACTGTGGCTACACTTATACGTGTTCCCTGGGGCCAAACACCTAAGGCAAGGCAA